ACCTTGGACTATGCCACCACATGTTGTGTTCACTGCTTGTCTGCTAAACTCCGAGACAAACTAGAGTCAACCAGTAATAAGTGCCTAAGGCGAGTGTTTTGGCCATGATCAGTATACTTCTATCGATTTCATTCTCATCAAATATAACCTGTATACTTTCTCTCGCCGTGTAAACTTGAAGCTGTTTGTGTTTGTTCTTAGGTGTCTATCTCGTTGCACCAGTCCTCTTTTAAGCACGTTATTTACCCCTCCGCACTGCATCATGCAGCACAAATGCTGCTACCCGCGGTCAAACGTCAGCCGCTCTGAACCTACCCAGAGCTACGTCTCGATAAGGCCTGGATGCTATTTCATTTTTGGCAGCAGACAAGTGGAACTTGCTTCCACCTGGATGTCGTCAAGCTAAGCCCCTGTCTGCATTTGTCACAAGCACCAAGTCATTCCTAGGGTTCCCAGTAAAAAGGCAACGCCTGTTGGGAGTTCCCTAGTCAAATAATAAATTCTACTAATACTACTAGGGGTGTTGTGGGTGGGTGTATATGTATGTGCGTGTGGGTGTTACTATGTGTGTGCGTGTTAGTATGTGTGTGTGTGGTGTGTGAGCGAGATTAAGCGCGTACTTGTTAGTGCTAGACCTGCGCCTACTGCATCTGCCTCTGAAATAGCCTTTCCCGGTACACATTCACGTGATTACTCCTCTCGCTATCGTATTATCACACCTCTCTCCACTTAGATATACCAGCGCTGTCTCCTATTCCATTATCGTTGTCTGATGATTGGTTCAGCCATGAAACTCTGAGTCACAACGGAATTAATTTGCCAAGGTTTTCATTGTGTGCCTTTGTGTACTACTACTACACCGTTATGAGTGGTGTAACAGTCACGCCCAGGATGTTTCTTTGTGATAATTGAATACGCCATTGTGTCATAACGTGACGCCTCAGTGTTTGCGGTGCGAAAGCTGTTCTTGTTGTTGTTGTTGTTGATCTTTTTATCTTTAATGTGATGCTGTAACCATTATCTATCCGAGTGATACTTCCCTAGATAAGCAAGCGAGAACCAGACTTCCGCTATTATACCCCACTGTGGAATAGTTGCACTGTCTTAGAGAGTCAGAGGGTAACAATCTCTAAGAGCTAGTGGATAAAAACAAATCCCTCTCTTGAGTTGTGCCTAACTAAGCTCCTGTGAATGTTTGGTTTTCTTTTGCTAACCAAGCGCCTATGCAAGTTTGTTGCTGTTTTGCTAATGGACTTGTCCATGCCATTGCACTGGTGGTTCAAGGATCAAGGTTATTGTTGCCGTTCCTGCTGGTTCAGGAACGCGTACAGAAAACTTTATGCTCCGTTTTATGCTGGATGATGCAAATGCATGAGAATTGCGTAATTTCTTGAATAGTAGGTTACGGTTCGTTGCTTTTATATAATTATCGTTTCGAACATACCTTATTACCTCGAATATAAGCACAGTCTCCAATAATAGCACGTCTCCGAAGATAGAACACCTTGGGGCGGCATTCAAGAAATAAAGTGCTCAGTCTCCATTATAAGCACGCTGTGTAAATTCATTATCTGTACCGGCGAAAAAACTGAAATGTGTGTGTCTGACATGAATTGGGCCATGGCAAAATGCCTCTTAAATGAGGTTGAAATCATAAAGGAACAGTGTCCAATAAAACAACGTCTCCATTAATAGCACGGGGCGGAGGTACATTGAAAAAATAAACGACCGAGCATATATTAGAGATAATACGGTAGACATGCAGGGGAGAAACTATGATCCACCTTTCAGTCTCTGACCTTTGCTTGCATGACGAATTCGACGGTTTTATTTACCACCATGGAGCGGAGTTTTCACATAAATGTGCACGTTAAAATAATGACACAGCCCCACTGAACAAATCCCCTACAGATACTGTCTAATCCCAATCCAACACAACAAAGATATTCGCCTTCAAATTATCCGAGCGTTTCAATTTCAGAGTCTGAGTTCTAAATCACTTACCGTCAACAATCAATTCCTATTTTCTGTTTCACCGTCCAACACAATTTGTGCCACTTAAGCTTTAAAAAAATCTCTGCTGCGGTAGATTTCAAACACTCAGCCCAAAATGTTAGCCGAGAAAAATATTCGCGCAAAAATAGTCGATTCACACCAGCCAAACTTGCAAACAAACAAACGTGAGTTGAAAATTGAAATCTTTGATGGTAACCGCCCAAATTATTTTTTGAGACTTCAATTCAGAGTTGAACAACCCCATTCCTCAAGTTATCCTGCCTGTGGCTTTTGAACTGCGTGGAATTTTGTGTATTGAGCAATCTATTTCAGGTAGCTCAAATGTTCCTATACATGTATATGTTGGAATCAGTAGAGCGTCCAGCCCCTATATGATGTCCAACCCCTATATGGAGTCCATTGGTCCAAAATCCACTGTGCAGAGTCCAAACTTGGAATCAACTGTGAGCTCAAAGTTTAGATGGAGATCACTCCCTGTATAGAGTCCAGCCAATTGGCTTCACCCCCATGTAGAGTCCATTGGTCCAAAATCCACTGTACAGAGTCCAAACTTCGAAATCAACTATAAAGAGTCTTTATGTGGACAACACTCCCTGTATAAAGTGCAGCAAATTAAGCATCCCCTATCCAGAGTTCAAAATTAGACATAGGATCTGCTGTAAGCAGTGAATATTAACCAGAAAACTACCTCTCCCTTTAGTCCTTTATATCATTCACTTCTCAAGATAAAAAAGTATTGAGGCTCCACTGCAGCCACTTCATTACATGAAAAACCGTACAGACACCATCCTCAAATCAAGTGATCCCTTCGCTGCAAATTACAATAATCTCAATCATGTCGTGTTCTCAAATTATTGTGCACGCGCACACCGACACACCCACACAACGCCAAGAAAATACTAAGAACAAGAACCGAAAGAGAAAAGGCTATGATAGTATTATGGAGAGCCAAGGATTAATTTGTTGTTTTTAAATTAGTGTGTGCGCGCGCGCGCGCAAGGGCGCCCGCACACACACACAAATTCATACAACGCCAAGAAAACACCAAGAAAGGAGGAGAGACACAATACACACACAACTCCAACAGCCATGCCAACGTCCACCCATTTACAAGTAAAGAGGGATAATAAATAATTATACGAAACGCATGCATACGTGGACGGGTGCACGCACGTTTACATACATGTATTAGTGTAAGAGAGTAACATAGTGCAGTAGTCAGCATAATACTAGCACATGCTGAGAGTGCAATAGCAAGCTTCAATATTGCTCATGGCCATGAAAATGTTCAGCAGCACTCAGTTCCACAAGCTTCTGAAGATCAGCACACCTGCAACAAATAGATAGCACACGGATACGTTTATTTGAATGATGCATGGGAGCACACAACTACCAAGTTCTCACCGAATGTGATGCTCAATGAAAATTCATCCACTCAAAGACCGGTGAACAGGTGACGGTGGGGACAATAATCTATTAGTCATACGAGGAATAAGATCGTTTGTGCACACTCAAGATGCACAGACTCACCAACATACATGTAGTGTACTCCACAGTGTTTCACTTCACCGCAACTAAATTGAAACGAGATGATTTAAACAATCTGTACAGCGTTACCGTCAGTCGAACAGTCTTCCCAAAGGTGGAAATGCAATTCGTTGTCGCGGGGCAATTTCACTGACACAATGTCATGTTTGTAACATCAAAACGGTTACTTCATGGAATACGAGTATTATCTTGAGAAGCATTTTCTTGTCATTGGCAGACAAGCAATCCTGCTATTACTACTAGTGCACTGGCACTGCGTTTGTGGATCCCATTGTATTTGACATCATACTAGAGGAAGAGTTTCGTGGAGTTTACATAATTATCACAGGGATAAAAATACATTTCTCATGAAATAAATTTGATGATAGCTAGACGATTGAGGCAAAGTCCTTGGACTCCTTGAGGGCTGATAATTATTATTGTAACGCAACTTTTACGAAGTCGTTGATTACTTTTAGGGCATTCATTCATACAACATCAAACAGACGCGATACGCTCCTTGAAAATGGAAAAAATTCAAGCATAACGACAGAACAGCAGACCAATCGAAACGAGTAAAAGCTTCCTTACCTCAGCCATCGTCCTGCCATGTAGTTGGACAGCCTTTTGACACGGTGGTACAGGCAGCTCTTGTCCAGTCAAACAGGGTATCCTTGTGGCGTCGAACGAAAGAGAGTGTCAGTGTATCTGACTCGTCAGATTGGAAGTGTGCTGTACTTTTCTCGTTCTCCGCTTTCTGCTTTCATCCCGCGCACTGATGAAACGTCTTATTGCCAGCAACTGTACAGCAGAACTGGTAGCCATGACCAGTCAAACAGGGGATCCTTGTGGCGTCGAACGAAAGGGAGTGTCAGTGTACCTGACTCGTCAGATTTGAACTGTGTTGAACTTTTCTCGTTCTCCTATTTCTGCTTTTCTCGCGCACTGATGAAACGTCTTCAGAACCACAAGACGCTTGTTAGATTTGATTTTGAACGTCTCCTTTTCCTCCTTTTTCACCTCGAGACAGATTACTGTCAGTAACTGCACAGCAGAACTGGCAGCCATGGCTGAAGTCACCGGAAGAAAGGAATGCGCTGCCGCGACTGAAAGAAAAACTGAAAAGGTGTTTGTTCTCTTTCGAGCACTACACTACACACACACATGTACACACGACACCGTGACTGGATAAACTGGACTCCTGGACCGTGAATAGGGGACTTGTAGAAAAAGTGTACTCCTTATAGGGGATTGCGCGGCAGGATGAAGCTGATCAAAACTGAGTGGACTCCTGGACTCCTGGACTCTGTATAGTGGATTTTGGACCAATGGACTCTATATAGGGTGCTGGACATCATATAGTGCATGGACTCTATACTGAGTCCAACATATATGGCAAATGTTTCATCGTGGCTGTGTCCGAATGCAATCTATGTTTTTGTGAAGATAACTGGTACGTGTGCTCCGTGAGCAAATCTCTTGGACTCATGGAGATACTTTACATTTCAACACCTAAGACATTTGATGAGGCCACCACCGAGTGCGCAGGTAGAGGCAGCATTCTGGCCAATCTCCAGAGCATAAACCATACAGAGTGCGCAGGGTCAGTGCTTGGACCACGAAATGGTCAATGCAACAGTTCCTCAGGTGATAACTGCAGGAATGCCTCGTCCGGCTGCGAAAGCAATACTTGCAATGTGTGGGTTGCTCTACAACGACCATCTAAAAAATGGACATGGGTGTTGCCTGTTCCATCCATACCGAGTACAATTCCATGGAGAAATTCAACAACAGGAGGTAGTGGAGAGCGAAAATGTGGTTATTATTCACCTGAAGAAGAGGGTTTCGGAATCGATTCTTGCACAATGAAGCTAAGTTTCTACTGTCAAAGATATACACCAAATGGTAAGGTATACTAGCTTGGACTTCACTAGCGTGTAGTTGTCGGTACAGCGTTAGAAATACTGGTTTAAGAAATACATGCCGACTTTCAACACTCCGCTCTTTCATTGACCTACAATACTATAGTATCGTATGCATTCACTGTGTAAAGAAGAAAACAATTCAAAATTATACTATGGGCAATTGGCAATAAAGAAGTTTCGAAAGGGAAATCCACTTTAGCCAATCCAATATGTAACTCGGCCCGTGACATGTACAGCGACCACCACAACCGTATCACCTCTATAGTGCTCACCGTGTGTTTATCCATCATACCCGGTATGAAGATGAATGGATATTGGTGCACCAAAATGACTTAAACACAGTTCAGATAAGTAAACATAATATATAACCAGGATCAGCTGAAGTGATATGGTACGTATGTAAAGTGGTGCTGGACAAAGAAACCAAAGTATTGTAATGTCCTCTCTCGTTATGTTTGACAATGAAACTCTCGTGGGTTCCTAACCTTAGATCACCTCAATCTTCAAACTTCATGTATCTTGATTCCAATTTCTAATTCCACTTTGTCGATTTCCCAAATTTCCGAATCTGAGGTCTTCGCACGTTTAGTGCAGCCACAGATAATTCAGGCATGGATATCTGGATTCTGCTTTGTTGGAATAATTGAGCAGTGGTGCGAAATGATGGTACAGCCGATTCTATAGTTACTATACGATCAAGGATCGTGGAGTTGGTATTCAGCAGAGATTAAGGGCGATAGTTACCAGGATCCTGCCTGCTTGACGTGTTCTTAATGTGAGCACAACCACTCCAGGATTACTCTCAACAGGATACACCTTGGTGGATGGAGAATTGTTGATGATAAGAGAACGGGGTTGTGGGATAGAACGTGTCCTAGACTTCTAGGCATGATGTTTGTTATAGGTGAGCTGCACCAAAATAGCCTCACAGAACTATCGGAGACGGAAGAGATTTGTTCCTGCTCGTTACCCAACGCTCGTTTGTTCGTTCTTCAACTCTCTCTTCAAACCGGTTGTCTGCTGGTTCCAAACTCTAATGCTGTTGGATTTCATGAATTCGGTTTAGGATTTAAAACTCCACACATTTCGTCATGCCCTCTAGACTTTTCTTGAACACAGCCGTCAGTCCTCTAACTTCTAGAATGTTCCGCAATCAAACAGTAATAAGATGATGCAAAAAGTGTTTTACTCACGAGTTTAATGCACTAAGCGATCATCAGAAAACACTACCTATGGGTACTCCGTAACTCTGGATAATGGTTTATATCGCCGAAAACCAAGATTGTTAACTTAATGACAACAGTGGTGAAACATTTCATCGCAGCATGAATTTGAAAAGCGTGAACGACAACAGTGGTGGAAGACACTACAGTTTATACTTCCAATTGAAACGCTTTGCTTGGTACATTGACCATTCCAAAGTTACACGTTATGTTCTTTCCCATGTAGCGCCTTCCAATATTACTGTCAACTCCACGGAAACTGAGATCTCGGCAAGGATATTGCAGCCACACATACTTCTGGAGTGGATAACTGGATTCTGCTTTGCGTACGGGAAAAACAGCACAAATTTCACGACTTCAGTCTGTGACACAAATGTATCCACGGTTTTCGGAAAACTAAGTTCCAACACGTTATACCGAGTCCGAGCATTTTACAACACTACGATCGGAATACACAGCAGCGTGTCTCCAGAAGTCTACATTGGAACATTGCCAAAAGGTAAGAGGTACATAACAAAAATCAGAAACGTATTACTATAAAAGGTGACTTGTCTATTCAGTTTTTAAAGTTACTAGAGGGAGATGAAAGAGGACTGCGTTAATCATCCAATCACATTGACTGGAATGTTTGTATCATCACGGCAGTGAACGTAAGCATGCCAATTCCTTTGGGCTGATGTTCACAAAAGATGCTCCATTGAAAAACTAAATCATGGGTTCATTCTCTCTAAAATACGTTTGGCTGACTAATGTAATTATTGACTCGGATCGAATAAAGCGTGACATGTAGTGTCTTGGTCCCTTTTCCTCCCTACAAATGTAAGCTTACATGGACATAAAAATGTAATTAAGACAATAAATAGAGTAAGCTGCGCACGCAGTACAAACACCATTATCAAAACGAAAAGAATTTGTTTACATTGAATTTGTTTGTGAATTTAGATCCACAGTTCTCACTTCTTTTTTGATTGCATGGTTACATTGTATTGGGCGAATAGTACCGTTAACCATTTGAAAATGGTTACTTTCCGGTTGCTAATAATATTAATCTCATGTGTTTTCACCTTATATTTTTAACTGGTACAATTTTCTTACAGCTCAAAGTGCTCACTCTAAACAGGATCTAAGTTACTACTTGCATTGTGCGTATATATAATAAGTTTTGAATTCATTTGGATTAGACAGTAATCCTTCTGAAGAAATGGCCACGAAAACGTTCAAGGAACAGGCTTTTATACATTAAAACAAGTTTTGTTAATGGTGTCTGTACTGAGTGTGCAGCTTACTCTATTCATTGGAATTAAATAATTGCCATAAATGTAATTGAACTCGGATGGTGAGCCAACTTAAATTATGGTGAAAAAGGAGAAGGACAAAATGTTACTAGTTATGACTAACTGTCCAACAACGTAACCAGATCTTATACAGTCAGACTAGGAGCACTGAGACATTCGGTGACCTGACACCTAGCTCCAACACTTCTCCAACGCGCAAACCAACGTCCTTCCAACTTGGAAGGCTCGGAAGGTCCAAGAGGGGAAGTAAAGCGCAATGAAGAAGAGCACGAGCTACGCATCACGGCAACAATCAATGCCGAAAAAAGGTTACTGGATGATGACGAAACTAGTACGACTATTGGACATACCGGCCTCACTACAACTCGACGATGCAAAGCAACAGACCACCCAATCTTGTTAGTTTTTTTGCCATTTTGTCGCACTTTTTGAGCGTATAAGATCTGGGTACATTGATGGAAAGTTAGTCATAACTCGTAACATGTTGTCCTTCTCCTTTTTGACCATAAAATGTAATTATGAATGTCTATTTATATTTTGAAAGGTGGTGGCGTTCAAAGCGATGCGAAAAACTCGGCATCTAGCCGAGTGTGAGACGAACCGTGAAATTATTATCGATGCTATTTTTTTCACGTCCTGGATCGTAATGAAATGATCTGGAAGTATAACCCTCTCTTCTCAATTCATTCATTTCTCACTCTATTTCGTTAGTTTTCGTAATGAAGCTTTTTCGTGAGACTTTCACCCTGCCAAGACAATCAACAGATGAACATTGATGATGCAACATCATCATGCAAACGATACTGCGCACATGCGTTTGGTAAGCATTTTCACATGATGGGAGATTGATGGTGCGAGTTACGTCAGAGGAAGTGTGGATGAGAACTGGGACAGACTGGAAGATAGAGAGAAACACCTATAGAATTCAGTACAGGCTTTTTACCGTAAAGGCTGACACATTTCTCCTGTTGCATAATCATTAATTATACACTCCAAGATCAGTGAATAGAGTTGCTGCTCTAAACGTTGAATCTTGCTTTTTCTGCTGACTGACTCCACACTTAAAAGATTCGCGGATTACACCAATGTGACAACATCATAGTTCGTGGATCCACTCAAATTTACTTGTCGTCAAATCTCTGCAATAGGTGCAATATATAATAAATGGCCCAGAATCTGCGAAAACCAGGCTTAGGGTGAAAATCATTTTTTGGAGAAAAATGATGTTTTGTAAAAAGGTTGTGTCGCGTGGACGATCGAGTGCAGTGAAGTGGAACCAAAGAGAATCTCGCTTGTTTGAAGAAGAAGCAGTCATGGCAGGAAGGGTTTCAGCAGTCATGGCAGGAAGGGGTTCAGCAGTCAGGGAAGTCAAAGGGCTTCCGGTAGAGTATTCCCTGCTACTCCTCTAGTCACAACGAAGAGTTTTTGAGCTGATCGAACGGATTCCATTTCCTACACTCAGGGATGGCGAAATTTCTGCGCTAGCTGCTGCTTGCGGAATATGGTGAAAAATCGTCTCCAGTTAGAGTCGTGATGGCGATAGCGAGGAGAACCTGGACGACATCGATCCAGCCAATCGAAGTACAGAGATACTAGCTGTTTCTGGGCCTCACGCAAAGAGAACGCGGGCAGCGGAGCTCATACGTTTGCAGCAAATTCACGAGGAAAATGGCTTGAAGCGCAGTGTGAAAACGGTTTTTAATTGAAGTCCTTGGCGCGATGAGGTGCTACTGAATGCCAGGGGAATGAGCGAGCAGATCGAGAGGCCCCCACTCGAGACTTTCCTCGCTGGACAGCTAGCTGCAAGGGATTGTACGGCGTGCTGATATTTCACTTGCTGGTCAGCACCAAGCAGATACTGCAGCACGCCAGCACACTATGCGCTTACTATGAAAAGTGGGACACGTTGAAAGGCTGTGTTCTTGCTTGTTTCTGAACAGTTGTACTAGATTCACCCTTCAAAGGGTGCCATCTCAACTGGAGTCGGGTTTCCTTGTGGTGTGTAGCGGCAGAGCATGCCAGTACATGTATTCAGCCCCAGAATGTGCTGAGTGAGGAGCAAACGAAATTCATGCAGAACTGTGCATGGCCACTACAGCCTGCAGCACCAAGGGGCCACAACAAGCCTGCCTCAACATGCCTACCTTGTCATATCACCTAAACAAAAATCATTCATGTCTCTTCCTGCAGTCTGGTGGATCTCTCTTCATTTCTTTCCTGTGATAACAATTTTGTGTTTTTTTTTGGATTTTTTAACATAATACCCTGGTGTGTTTGAGATGCTTTTAATACCACTATGAGTCGACCCACACCTGTAATATTTTGTTTCCTGACCCCCCATGCCCAGTAGAAGCTGAAAATGGGAAAAGGTCATTTTGTGGAATTTCACCCTAAGCCTGGTTTTCGCAGATTCTGGGCCATTTATTTCCCCTACCCTATATTATAGAGTGCGGCGCACATGAAGGGGTGCTTACCTGCTCTAGACTGATAGGGAGAAAGACACATTCGAATTGTGAACCTAACAACACTTTTGGCTCGTGATCACACACAAAACGCATCTCCATTGATTCATTTGTGGAGCAATTTCCATCTGTGATTAAATTATAGCTAGACAGGACTACAATCAGAGCATAATACCTTAAAAACTCATCTTGACCCTAAACACCCTTGTCGCGTGAAAAGCAATAAAAACATAATCCAATGAGCTAACAGAACTGTGTGTCACATGTCGATTTTTCCTGGGATACCATACGTGTTATGTTTTTGTCCACTTTCAGCACCAAAACCGCCTCTGGAAATGAGCATCTTCAGTTCTGCGATCACCGTGCTGCTAAGTCCGATGGAAGTAGGCAGCCTACCCATACTTCAGTACTGTGCGTACGGAAAACCAGCTATTGATCAGAATGGGAATCTGCCGTCGGTGTCAGCATGCAGCGTTTCTAATAGAGTCACCTTAACAGGTTTGACTATAAACACCACCTACATCATCAGTACGTATAATAGCAATGAATACGGAGATAGTGATCAGTCCATATCCATTCGCATCACCACTTTGCCTCCAGGTAAGTCATTACATTATTATTTTATTCTTATCTTATTTTACGGGGGAATTTCAAACAGGCGTCATCACCTTTTTATAGGGAACACAAAGAAAGTTTTAATGCATGAATCCGGTTAGAAGATGATGACCCGTGGACGGTTGACGGGTATTTCTAATGGGAGAGTATATCCAAATCTTTGAATTAGTAGATCCTTTCGCCTCAATAAAGTGGCGTGCGTACTTGTAGTTGATTAAAGGAAATATCGAAAGTTCTTTCCTCGAGCCTCACCACGGTAGCATGTTTATGTAAATCTGGGAAGGACCGTCAGAGATACGAAGTATATTTTGTTTAGTGTCACTGTATACCAAATGATCGAATTTCTCCGTTCGGGTCTCAGAGGTTTAAAGCTTTGTGAACCATTGCTCGCGCCCGACTCAATTAACGTCTTTTGAATACCGACGGGACAAGCTGCTTGTAAATGAGGAGCTGGTCTTCTCCCCCAAGTTCGCCTTTCGTTTTCCCAATCAGGCCCTGCAGAGGTATTCTCACTACTGTCGCGGTCATTGTTCATCTCCTCGCTTTCCGCATCTTGATTTTCAGTTAGTAGCAATCAATGTATCACACCGTCTGCACTGATATGCAACGTTGGGTGGCGATAAGAAGCGTATGCGAAGGAAGCAACGTCCCGGGAATGGATGTTGAGTTGGTTTAGTCCCAGACTGGGAGAATTGAGCTCAGGGTAGCAGTTCACACACGGCTGGTTGGTGGTTACACACACTAGCCTAACGCAAGCAATATTCGATGTGCACTTGCAATCAGGCATTTAGCTTCATTCGACCACATCAACTGTTGTTTCCGTACGGCCTAAAAACTGTTTGCCATTGGTCCAGTTAAGTGCGAAGATAGAAGATTTGGCAACACACGTCTCCCAGAAAAAGGAGGAAAATAAATAGCACGAGAGCAACATAATTATCCTGACACAGGCCACAAGAGCTGTGAAACGAAAACACCTATATAAACAGTACTAATGTTATAGACATCCACCAAAACAATATGACCATGGAAACCCAAAACACACAGGGGATTGTAGAAGAAGCCACCACTGCAGCTGTACATAGGTTTGATTAATTTGGCGGGAAGCACACAGTTGGAAATGTGGAGGTACATACAAGCCTACCCAAACTAGCTTTCTAGACTGGAAATCGTATTTTGCAACAGATCTTGCCTTCTCCCCACCATTACCATCAGTTTGCGCCTGGCGCTTCATAGATGCATGATTATTTTTTGCCATCTGGCTGGCCTCTGCGTCCACCGCAGACACACCCACACACAACAGAAAGATAAAGGTCACAGTGGTAGTGTAGTCTTTGTTCACTCACGACGGAAAGGATAGCCGACAAGACAGGCACTGGTGCAGTATAGCGCGAGACACAAACAGCATGTCCTTGAGGGAATCCTCCACATACATATTCTTACATGTGGATGACTTTATACCCCTGCCGCTAAAGAAGGCGCTCTGGCATGCCAGCATTGGCCGCTGACGTCGCTCCCCCCGAGCGGAGGCTGTGCGTGCCACACACTGTGGGGTCTGCAATTACGCGGGCAAGAGCTGTGTGGATTAATTCGCGCGCCCGGGCATATTTTTATTTTATTTTTTATTTTATTTTTACTAGAGCCACGTAAACCCGTCATGTATGGGCCATGAATAAGGGGAGTGGTGGCGTGTTCTGGGATGCCCTGCCGACCTTGGGTCTCGGCTTCATCACAACCAAGCGCGCCAATAGCAGAGAGAGAACGAGAGAGAGACATAGACAGAGAGTGAGAGAGAGAAAGAGAGATAGAGAGAGCAAGAGAGAGAGAGAGAGAAAGAGAGAGATAGAGATAGAGATAGAGATAGAGAGAGAGAGAGAGAGAGAGAGAGAGAGAGAGAGAGAGAGAGAGGAGAGAGAGAGAGCGGGGAGGGTTGGGGAGCAAGAGAACTAAATAAGAGAAGTAAATAAAGTATTTAAAAAAATGAGAGAGAGAGAGCGAGAGGGAGAGAGAGAGAGAGAGAGAGAGAGAGTGTGAGAGCGGGGAGGGTTGGGAGCAAGAGAGGGGGAGAGAACTAAATAGAGTATAATTATATAATGCGTAATAGGTGCACATTCAGATCCAGAGAAAGGAGTAAGCAGGGCACGAGGCGTATGGCAATAAGCAGCAGTGTGTGGGCAGATGTGCATACATCATACAAAGTGTCAGTGGCCCAGTGCCATTGCTGTGTATGTCATCTTTCCCAGCAGACATGACTGGTGGGCTGCTGCGGAGACCTTGCCAAAGAGAGGTTGAGTGGGTACATGCCGTGCTCTCTCCAAGAAATCCTCTATGACCGACACAGGACATGGTTTAGTAGCCTGCTGCTCTAGCAGGCTCACCATGACCACATCGCCCTGGCGCAACTGGTCGTTCTTAAGCCGCCCATGCACACTAACCTTTATCGCCAACTCCAAAATGCCCACTTCCGCTCCATCTGTGACGATTACCGGCGAGATCCTAGGGTTCTTTGGAGCACCATCAACTCAGTCACTCGGCGCACAAACCCAAGAACTGACCCTTTCGTCCAGGCAGATACCTTGAACAGGTATTTCCATAGTATTGTGTCAGATCCGAACCCGGGTTATTTTGTTCCAAGTGGTACCTCAAGACGGTGTGACTTGCACGAGTTTCGTTTTATTTCTGAGGATGAGATACTTCGGCACCTTCAGAAACTCGACGGGATGAAAGCGCCTGTGCCAGAAAGTCTCCTCCCGAGCATCCTGAAGGCCGTTGCACCAGTTGTCGCATTCTCCCTCACTCTAATATTTAATACCACTTTGTGCACTGCTGTGTTCCCGACACAATTCAAGTTGGCTAATTTCACGCCAATATTGAAATCCCGTAAGCGCGACCCTACTTCTCCTTCAAACTATCGTCCTGTGTCAATCACGTCGATTCTGGCTAAGACTCTGGAGCGCCTGGTTCTAAATCAGGTATGTGACAGTTTGACCATCGAAAATGACCTCCATGAACACCATATTGGGTTCCGACCAGCTCGTTCCACGACCTAACTGCTCACACTTGCTGTAAATGATTGGAAACTGGCCCAGGACCGCGGATAGACTACCAGTGTAGCCTTTGTCGACCTCAGCAAAGCGTTTGATCGCGTCTAGCATCAACAGTTACTCGTTGCGCTCCATGGCATGCGTGTTTATGCAAGCGCGCTGCGTTGGTTTGCGTCGTACCTCGCCGGGAGATCTCAGCGTGTCGCCACGCAAGCCAGCCAGTCTTCGAGTCTTGCAGTGTCTCGAGGAGTTTCTCAGGGAAGTATTTTAGGCCCTACCCTTTTTAACGTCTATCTGAGGGACCTTCTCCGGATTTTTTCACCCCAAACGCACCTTCTCCAGAAGATCATGACCGAAGGGCCACTCGCGGACAGGTCACATGGTTCTTATGAGTCACCTTCCTCCCGGGTCCTGCGGGACGGTCCCACATCCGTTTCTAAGGTGCCATTCTCTGGAATAAGCTGCTGGCTGAACTTAGATGTATATCACAAAAGGATGAATTCAAGAGCACCATCTGACTCTGTGTTGAGTCGCTTATCCATACCTCTTTGTGTCTTAGCCCCTAGAAGCGCTAGTTCTTCAGTTCCGAATATTTTCTGCATGATTGCCTTGTTTGTAAGTTCTCACTTCTTTCCTGCACCATTGCCTTATGCTCTATTTATGTGAAACCATTGCCTTCGGGAACGCTGTCTTTTTGTTCTCGCATCCTTTCTGGACAATTTCCTCCTGAAACGCTCTAAAATTATGTACTTGTAATCGTAACTTAAAGTTTCATGCCCATAGGTAAACATCAGAAAATTAATACAGAGTGAACAGCCAGGATCCGATTATGCAAATCGTAATGGTCTTAGTTGTATCAGGAATCGAATTTTCACGGAAAATGAAAATACCAAGATAAGCAAGAGCTGAAAGTCTCAGCTGTGAAGGACGTTCGCGGATAGCCATGCATGTCGATGATGACACTGGCTAGACCATTGGACAATACGGTCAAACCATGATTCAAGGACGCAAAGCAACATTCCACACAACTTGCGCGGCTCAAAAGATGCTAATATCAAGAAAAGGTGAAGCTATGCGAACAAGAATCATGCAAAACCGAACGTCTCAGTAAAACAGCACTGTACTTCGACTTTGACACTTTAGATGGACAATAAGCAGAGGTAACAAACAGTAGTTTCACACGACAATCGTTTCGCCGTATAGATAAGTCATCTTCCTCTTTTATGTTACTTCTATAACTTGAAATAAAAATCAATTGTCATAACATCCAAGGTAATTTCAGATAATTATTGTGCATTGATTCACTCTGTGCAGTGAAATGGGATGCGTGTGCTCAAACCAGCACCAGCACTTGGCAAGTCGATTGGACTTTTCAAGATGACCACAAAACCTGGAAAGACGCCAACATATCCTGTAGGTTCTTTGGCGGATCACTGGCTACTGTCCAGACAATGGCTCAGCTGCAGTGTGCTAACCGGACCGCAGAAGGATTATCCGCCACGTGGGTAGGCCTGACTGGTACATGGAGCGCCGGAAACTGGACTGCTTGGAAATGGGAAGCTGCATTGTCGGCCGTTACGGCGCAACTTCCATGGGGATCAAAATTTCCAGCGACTCGGGATGATTACATATACGGATACTATCAGCCAGACATTTTCAGATTACGGAACTGGGACAACAACCATAGACTTCGGTACCTCTGTAAACGATATGTGCCTAAAAGTAAGGGTATGGCATTTGAATGAACGCAAATTGTATTCACATAGTTTTTAAATCTATACAGTCTGTTCTGTTGTACATGTAATTATCGGCCATGAGTCATCAGTATTGAGGTTAAAACAGGTGGACCTAAACCATGCAACCCAAAGTGTAATGATTTCCTCATGTAATGAAGTTGGCTCCAGTGGAGCTTGGCAACATTAACCCTTTCCATGCTATGGATGCGTGTACTGTTTTTTCAGTATGAGCAGATTGGCCATGGACGCGTTTACGCATTCTGCCTACAATTTACAGTACATTAGCTTCTTTTGCCTTGCTTGGCTACCTAAGATGTACAGAAAATACCAAAAATCCAGGAGGAGTATGTTTTTTGAGCTGGAAAGTGAGTGGGGTTGTCGAATAACTGCTAGAGGGACCCTCCTTTGCGGCTGTAGAGTGCTAAAAACGTGCCCTGTTTGCCGAATAACCCTTATTTTTCTCCGGGGGACACCCCGGACCACCGGTCTTACCACTCCAAGCCGCCATGTCACGCTCCTGCTCTCTCTAAATATCTCGGATTGCTAATGTTGAGACACCGCAGGAAAGGTTTTGCGCTCAGTTTTCCAGGGATATAAAGAGTTGCGCGATACAACAAGGCCTTCGACATGTCTAGTAGGCACAGCCCTGTGGTCTTGCCACTGTCTCTCGCCTTCTGCAGATTATCAGTCAGCACACAGAGGGCGTCTTCCGTGGAACATTTCTTGCGGAAGGCAAATTGTGTTTCGGGTAATGCCTTGGTCAAGAGTTGATATCCCTGGGCAAGAAGTAGGTCGTTATTATTAACAATAAAAAATAATATTTTACCAAGCATGCCTGTAAACGACAAAGAACACACTATTATCGATGCGTCCATCATACAAATCATGCAAGCGGCATTGGTCGCCAAATGATGAGCGTTCTCGGCGACGCAAATAGGAAGCCCTTCACCCACAAAAACACGTCACAAGCCCTTTTATTAGCAAGAAAGAGATACAGCACCTCGATTTTGCCCTAACGCTTGAATAATGATAAACGATGAGATAATGACCGGTGATGGTGGTGGATAATGTAGTAAATTATATTTAATCAGCAGTCATTTTGCAACTGTTATAATTCGCACTACTTTTCATGTAGCATGAACTCTGCCTTCTTCTGAAATATTCCTAGGTACTTGGCGCCTTTGCTGTGACTATGCAGGCTGAGTAAATATGTAGGAAGCAGTGACCAGTCAAGGCCATAACAAACAGTATGACAGTCACAAATCAGCCATGACCATTCACAAATCAATGTACAAGTCACAAGGCCCCATGAGCAGTCACAGAACAATGTGCAGTTACTACTTTATTTATAAGTATGGTTGTAAACACGCACCTGTCAATATGGCGGTAAAAACACGCCGGACAGTAATTATACAACAGAAAGAAAGGAGATAAATGGCTGTGAATACAGTCTTATGTCGAGCCAGACGCGCCTCAGCCTGGACAAGGTGGACAGGTGCGAGGTCGAAGTTGTTGTTGTTGTTCTTTTTGTTTGAATTCACATTACCAAGCGGGCAATAAGCCCAATTACATGGAAGCGAATAAAAGAATGCTAAGAATGAGGCATTTTGGTGAAGAGTATTTCAAATGAAAATACTGATCCCGGGAGGTACTACAAATAGGTACAAGTACAATGAAAATATGAAAATACATGATACTGTCGTTTACCATGCTGCAAGCAGCTAGTTGTTGAAGGAAAAGCGACAAGAATGACATTGTATCTCATGTACTTGACAAACAGAGCTAACAGGAAAAGACCGTGACGACGGCGAACAGGGCGTGATCCGTGTACGCAGCAACGGAGTGCAGAAGTGTCAAGAAAATATACCAAGCAGCACCGCAGCCAAGCTACAACCCGGCTATAGGCAGCTTTGCGTTTGGTGGCGAAGTCATGCACCAGCGTCTTGACTACTACGGCTGCTTATGAGCTCATTCCACCACAGTAGGAGAGGATTAACGGTTTGAATGAGCCATGCTCGACTCCATTGACACGTTCACCGTAAGCACTCTTCTTCTCGCCTTCAAACCTTCGGTAGACGGAGGGTAGAGACTTGGACCGCTAGCTTCACGCGTGAGGATGAAATACCCTTGTATCGAAGAATGCATTGCGGCTATCGGTCCAGAATCCCTTTACTTGCAAGTCGGCACGGGCATCAGGATCAGTGTTGGCTGACCGATGGTGAAAGGTTTCACCAGTTAGGGGCTGCAATGGTGGCTCCGCCTCCACATCATGATGGAGCTCCTTCGTGAACGACGCGAGAAAGTCGGTGGGAGCATTGTGTCGCATGTAGATGAATTCCGACAGCTTACAAATGTGGGCAAGGTCAAGTGCGAACCTTGAGCCACATAGACAGGATGCTGGCAGGTTTTCAAGAGGCCTACAGTACCGGAGCCGGATACGATCGTGAAAGTAAGCTTTCACATCAAAGTTGGAACCATGCTCAGCCATAGGGACGGTGGTGAGGGTACAGGACCCGCTCTTCTCGCCTGCCAAGGTTTTGCTCGTTGTTGTGGCTGCGGCAGGCGGTCTTGGATGGTGGCCGCTGGTGCCCTCAGTACTGCGCGGTGGCGAATTAGCAGTGCCGACATAGTTGCCTCGTCCGGCCGAATGCTCTCCAACGACTCCGATCCGCCGGTGGTGATCTGAGCTGCGAGGTGGGTAGTGCACCGCTGCTTTTCCTTGGCAGAGTCAACACTACACTTTGTTCTGCGGCCCTGGGAGTAGTGTTGGAGTAGAAATTGCTGAGGAAACGTCGCGGAGGGGCGAGCTTTCCTGCGCAGGTATGACTTTGGCCGTATTTCAGCATGGTCGAGTGGAAAAATTCAAAAAAGTTTATTTCAAGAAAACCCCAAAAAGGAAGATGGGGGACATGTCCTCAGCGCTAGAAGAGGTGTTCTACTATCTGCCGGTGTATAGTTCTGGCCAATTGAGGACGTAGCTGGCTGTTTTTCCAGCGCTTGTAAATTGGCTATTTTCAAGACGATCATTTGTGGCGTCAGGGGGTGATGGACCTCGTCTTCTGGGATGCTGGCGTGGCTAAGCGGTACTGCTCCAGGAACTCTTCTAAGGTGAGGCAATGTTGGCTTGATCGAGTTTTTTTAATAGCTTGTTCGTATACGCTGTGGCTTGACTCGTTTCTAGACCCATAAATAATGTGATATTTCGACCATTTTTGAGGGGTATGCAAATTTCAAGGTTCCCTTCAGAAACTTTTTCAAGGGCTTTTCACAATCGATCCACACCCCAAAGGGAACCTACCTGCAAATTTTGAGCGAAATCGGAGAGATCCACTTGCACACATACTTTGGTATTCTCAGACATGCTCTCTTAAACAAATGAGGTATAGTTTATGTTTGGTCATGGTGGAAGGAGATGTGGAGCTACGGGAGAGATGAATTGATTATTCCCAGGGTGAGGGTGACATCGGTGGACGAGTATGACGATTACGAAGACAGTTGAACACTATAATTTTCAAAGGTAACTAAAAATAATTTGGCAATGAAAGGTACAAAAGAACTCAACTAATGATTAGAAGAAGTCATGTTTTCTCCTTTCCATGTTGATCTCTAGCATGTATGGTCATCTTGTTATGGGGATATTCATGTATTTAGTTGTACTAATGGCCACTTGCAAGCACATGTACGAAAAGGCACACAATTTCCGAAGTTTGAGGCTCCATAAGTGAAACAAAATGAATATGTATCCCTACGTGACAAAGCACAGTATGAGGATTTTGCGAGCATATTGCGAGAATCCATGAAAGCATAATTCCATGATTTCGCCAGCATAATCCGCCGGAGCCTATTTGTCTAGCATTAACAAATCCCGAATCGCTAAATTAGAAGTTCTTCATCGCCGTTTACTGCGAATAATTTTTAGTGCGGATCGTTACAACTCAAATCCAGACTTGTAGGCTGCTGCATCTACTTCCACCTTGCAACGCTACCTTGATGCTTCCAAGTGCACCCTGGTTCATTCCATTTACTTGACCAGCACCCTGCTAATTTGCAGTTACTTAATTGGTCTACTTCGGATGGTACCACCCGAAACCGCGTTTGTCCACCTCCAGCTAGATCTACCCTATTCCCAATTTCCCCTTTTTTCCCTCCTACTCCACGTGGCTCCAACTGCCTCCCAGTAGAAGGCAAGCTTCAGATAGGCCCTGGCGGGTTTGACCAGCCTTCGTCGTCCAGATCTTGGTTCTGATCTTGATTTTGGATCAACTTGATCACATCCGACGATCTGCTATGTCACGCGGTAAACAGTCGGCGCACGGCCAGTTTCAGGACGCAAAAATATCGTACTTCGATCGCTCAAATCGAGATTTTTTCAACCTTTTTTGCACTTCTGCAGAGCTTTGCGGATAGTGAAATTAGAGTCGTTCATGGAAGGAAATGGTTGTTCTTTGGAGTGACAAGGATTGTCAGTTCAAATTTCTTGTCAGACTTGGTAGAGGTGACCACGCTGCAGTGTTGTGCGTGCTGGTGTCTGGAGCGGTGCCTGGTGTAGGATCCTGAGGACGCGCTTTCTGTTGTCTGGTAGGAAATTGGCAATGTTGCAATGTTGGGAAGTGCAAATAATCCAATTTGTATATTTTCAGAAAACGTTTCCTGCACTGTATGGCTCAGAAAAATAGTCGGCGTAAATGGTTCCCACTATGGCCCCTGAAATTTGGCTATTTTGGCGATGAAATTTAGGGATATTTGGATATGATGGCCATTGCATTCCTGGATGTAGCCAAGACTCTATGTGGTGGTGATTAGCCCTTTCCTAAAAATGCCAAAAAACGCAACTTCTGCTTTTCGCAACCGTGCCAAAACAAGTGAAAGGTGCTGAAATCGCTTCCTTCTCGCTCCACATAAACTGGCATACACAGAGACATAGACAGCAATAGCGACAACACACAAAGTGAAGGGTAGTGGGCCGCAGCGCATCCATATTTTCAG